CCCCTGGGTAGAGTGCTGTGGCATCACAGCTCATAGCAACCTCCAACTCCTGGGCTCAAGTGATTCTCCTGCCTCCAATTCCCAAGTAGCTGGGACTACAGGCACCCACCACAATACCTGGCTATTTTTTGATTGCAGCCGTCGTCGTTTGGCAGCCTGGGCTGGATTTGAACCTGCCAGCTCAGGTGTATGTGGCTGGCGCCTTAGCTGCTTGAGCCACAGGCGCCAAGCTGATATTTTTAATAATATTTATGTCTAAGAAATGTTATTACTAAGGACCAAATCTACATAAACATTGCGATACTCTAAAATTAAAAAATGTCAACCTTTTATGTTTTAGGAATGTAGAATGGAAAACACACTGGGGCAGGGGATTGGAAGATCTGGTTCCAGTGTTATCTTTATTGTTAGCCTCTGTGTGACCTTGGGCAAGTCCCTTTACCTCAGATATCAAATGAGGGGTGGGAACAGAAACATTGTAAGCACTAAAATCCTATGATTTTTTTCCCCACTAGATACTGCCTACTGTGTGAAGGTAATAAATGCATTTAGAGGACTTTTTAATCTCAATTTCAAATAATTTGAATTAACATATATGTTGATCTTGAAGCAATGATTTTCTGTATTTTCTTTAAAGGATCTGTTTGAACCGCAGACTGCTTTGTTGAGATATGTATTGGAGCAGCCTTATTCCAGGGATATGGTCTGCAATATGCTAGGTTTAAATAAGCAGGTACTGTACTATACCAGAAACCTAGTACATTTTGCATAGAATCTGCACTATTCTTTTCTCTTTTCTTTGCTATAGCTAACTGAGCAAAACAGTTAAAAACTATTTGGTGATTTTTTTAAATATGTGGTTTATTAAATAACGTATTGTTTCTATCATTTCTATATTGCTTTAAGAATGTTTAAATTAAAAATGAGATTTTTTAAAGTTGGTTTATTTTGCATTGCTTTTTTTCCTATAAGGCCAGTTTCAAGTATACCTTTTGCCAGAGAAACCTACACATGACTTAACCATAATTTTTTACTTTTTTTGTTGCTTGGGTGTCTATTTTTCTAACCCTTATAATCTTCAGCGTGGCCTTCTTGCTGTTTTTTTTTGTTTGTTTTTTTGGTTTTTTTTTTTTTGGTGTATATTTGTTTATTTTTGGTGGTTTAACATGTGGGAGGGTTTGTGCTGACTCTGGGTTCCTTGAGGCTGGCCTCATAGTCACTGTTTTGTCTTTTCTTTTTTTCTTCCTTTATTTTTGTTCTGTCCTGTCTTGTCCTGCCCATCCTCCAATGCTCTAGACCTTGAACATTGCTCAGGTATGTTCACAACCTTACTGTTGTATTGTGACTAACGATACGCTGGCCGCTTTGTAGCCACTGATTCCATTTAGAGAATACGTGTATGGTCGGGGCTTGAAATTGGCAGGACCATGCTGAGACCAAGGCCACTAAAAAAATTTCTTCTTGGGATATGAGAGTTCTTTTTGGTGGATTGTTTTTGGTTTTGTTTTTTGGTTTTTTGGTTTTTGTTTTTGGTTTTGTTTTTTTGGTGTTTGCTTTTTTAATATCTTTTTTTTTTTTTTTTGGTTTTTGTTTTTAAACAAAAAGACAACACCTGGCACTCAGTAAACCCTGTCACTTTTTGATGGGTTGTTTTTGCTTCCCACTCCATTTTACTGTTTTTCATACTTTAGGGCTATAGCTAGCCTGGTAGAATTTTCAGAGATGGAAAGATTCGCCGGTGGCCTTTATCTTTCCAGACAGTTAACAACTAAATAAATAACAACAAAAATACTTATGTTGCTTTGCCTTAAAACAAAAACAAATTAAAAATAACACAAAAAAGAAAAAAAGCACTTTAATAGAGATACACTGCTTTTAAAAGTTGGAGTGGTAAACTTTATACAGGAAAGGTTTTTTTGGAAACCTGGGGATTGACTAAGAACTGTCACACTCTTAGATGACCCCACACCTGTTTGACAAACACCCTTCTTTGTCCGTCTTTGCCAGAAGTGCCCTCCTCCTGGAGTGAGCTCCTCTCCGTTGAAGCTCACCTATGGTGGGAGAAAAACACCGTGGCCAAACTTCATAAACCAAACTCTTATACAGTCCCAAGTCTGTTCTAAGACTTTTCACCTTTGATGTTTTAAACAAAATAGTGGTTCTAATTATTTTTGTTAAAACTTTTTGAACCCAACATATTAAAATAAACCAGCTTTTTGATTTTAAAAAGACATTCTTGTCTAGGTTATATAAAATAGCGTCACTGTTTGCAATACTATAGTGAAGGTTGTGCCAGTGCTTCCATTTATAAAGCCCTATTTTTGAGGACATATAGCTTGGCCATAAAACTTGCTCAGTGTTGAAACTTTGCATGCCAAACCTCACCCTAGTAGCAGTATCTCTTTTATTATTTTAAGTTTTTTCTTCTGAAAAATTTGCCAAGTTTCCTTGTTTGGACAAGCCTTTCTACATGTGAAACTGAAACTGCTTCACATTAGAGTATCTGACAGTTACTCCATATAATCTGTTAAATTAACATCTTAAATACCAAGTCTTTAATTCTGATCAACTTTCACTTGAATTAGAGGTAAGTATTCAGTTAACTTTGAAAGAATGCTTCATGCTATGCCTTCAGACTAATTTTTGCAATGAACTTTAAGTCATATGTGACTTAATTTTTTTTTTTTTTTTTTTTTGCAGTTTGGTGGATAAATGTACCCTTGGTCATTTGAGCTGCAAGTACCTTGCCCCAGACATCCTTAGCTGTCCCTAGCTTTTTTCTTTTGGGGAGCAGCTCTTCTCAAACTAGAAATTGACAGAACAATTAAGAGTATTTCTGATCTGATCATTTCAATAAGTTTCAACCTAAAAGAAGTTTATGACTAAGACATAAATCCATAAAAAATAAAGTTTATAATGGAAATGCTGACAGAACATTATTAGTATTGGTCCCACTGTAGTGTAAACATTGTCAAAAATTCACAATTCATCAGTAACTGTTTCCATAGAAAACTCTGTAGTGAGGGGACTTGTAGATGGAAGGTAATAGCTGCATTGACTTGATAGATTATTTTTACCTGCTGGAAAGCAGACTAGCAAATGAAAACACACAGAGGATAGGAAGCATCTGACTAAAAATAACCAAGTCATCTTATCACATCTTTTATCATTACAGAACTATATCCTACACTGTACTTTCTTGTCCTTTCTCTAGCAACGCAATAATTTACTTAAAGCTTGAAACTTTCTTAAGAGCTGTTCATATTGCATTTTCCAGTAGGAATTGGGCCATATTCTATCCTAAGATCAGTTCTGTTCCAAAGGTGATACTTAGCTCAGTTCTGTGACCACCAAGGTGAAATATTAGACTTAAATTCGGAGTGGAAAAATCTTGTTTTGCGTCCTTCACAAGAGCTTGCATGCTTCCCGCAGAGTAAAAGCATCACAAAACAGATACATTCCTCAAGCTTTTATGTGATTGCTTCAAACTCTGGCTGCAGAGAGACAGTGAAATATTCACCATTCTGTTTGTCTTAAACTAATCACTCAGGTTTCTTGGAAGTAACTTCTAAAGTTCAAAATACCAGTGAAAGGCACCATTGAAAGTGTATTAACTGGCATAGGGCTCTGGTTTTCTGATTGGCAGCTTTCTTGGTTAAACAAGAGAATTTGATAAATGACATTGAAAGAGATTTTTCTTTCCAACTTGTCCTGAATTGCTTTGAAATTGATTTATAGCATTGGCATAAGGATTTAAAATTAACATAGGCTCACCTAAGCATAATACATCACAGTTTCACTGCAAAAGCATTACCAGAACTGTTACATGGAAAGTGGCAAGTGACACTCAATATAGCATGTGGGACACTAAGACTGAAAGGCACTATCATTTACTATTTGCAAGAGTAATGGGAAAGAAGCAGGAGCATAGGTGGGTTAATATTAATGTTTCTATTAACACATTTGCCCGATTTTTGGCTTTTATCAAAGCTGAAAGTTTAAAATGAAATTCCAATATAGTTAGGCTATTATCTAGGCATATTAATGGAATAGTTAAAATACTGAATTTACATTTTCTTATCCTTAACATATTTTAACTAAATATCCAATATGAGGTAAACTAACAAATTCAACTTTCTGTGCCAGTATTTTGAAGCTTTAAATTTGTGAAAGCTTTCAGAGAGCAGGCGAATAGCCATAGAGATAGCATCTATTGACTTATAATCTCTTATCTTAGCCTAGAGATTGACGGCTAACCTTTATCCATAGATCCTTACACTGCTTTACAACTATTTGTCCCACATTTTAAAACCACCAGCCCTAGGGAAGAGAGTATTAATTTTAATGTACCTATCTTTTAATAAAGGAAAAGTAAAGCAAAACTTATTATTACAAAGCAGTTAGTACAAATTATTTTATATTTCAGGTTTTTCTTTTTTTTCTGATATTCCCCCAGTTGGCAGATAAAGCAACATGTTTAAGCTGTCTTTAAATTTGGTTTGAGAAACATTCTTGGCAATAGCCCTAAACACCTGGGAAATTTATAGTTAATCCTGTTAGATATTCTGCTACCACCAATTTACAAGGGCATTAGGTATTATAGAGATTTTTTGGTGGATTTAATTCTTAGCAAAAAAGTTGGGAGTAATCTTAAGTCATGTCATGTACTGAAGGACTATCAGCTTTACCTGTAAATTTCCTGGTATTCTTCCTTTGTCAAAATCTTAGTATCTTTGGCTTTTCTTTTTTAATCATTAACTGTATGACCATCAACATGCTAAAAATATATAGGTGAAAATCTAGTTTTTAAAATAAATAGTTAATACTAAAAAGAGTAACTTTAAAGTGACTCAGGTGCTAAATCCAATTTTACTTAGTTTGCTTTTTTTTCCTAAAGCAGATTGATTGAAGACCCTTATGGATGGAGAAATAGATGACAAATTGGTTTGTTTCCAAACTAGAAGCAAATTCCCATCACTAGTGAAAAATTCCTACTGGAAATCCTGGCTTAACTTCTTTTCACAATTTTTTCTGACTCCTGTATACTTTGAATGATCTCACTCTAAATTTGTGTTGTCTGACACATTTCTTAGGTTGTTGGTGGTTGGCAGAACTAGTGAATTTCAAGCCCTGTACACAGTAGTTTTGCATGCTGATTTAAGAAATAGTCTGTAGTGTTGTCTGTTGCACTTTGCTCTGCTTCATAATGACAATGACATTTGGAGGAAAAGTACTGTAGTATCAAGTGGTGGTGTTAATATCGCTATTTGTAAACCTGTAATGTGGTTGAACTGTGATCATGGCATTGTGTATTTTTGAAAAAATATGGAACAACCATTGATGCTTACTGTTTGGATAGATGTTTGTTTTATTTGCATGTTTTCAGAAAGTGCAGCTATATTGGAGCTTTACGAGTTTGGAGCTGGCAAAGAGCATGCAAAAGAGGGGATGCTACTCATGTCTTGTTTATTTCTAAATTTGTCCCCATTTTGCATTTTTTCCCTAAATTTAAAAAAATCATATCCCTTTTTCATGGCAAAAGACTGATAATCACATCTAAAGTTTAGGGGGATGTGCAATATTAGTAATGATATTTATCAGAAAGGCTTCCAACTGCCTGCTACTAAGTCATGTAAAATTTACAAAAGAAATATGAAAATGACTTGAAATATGACTTAACTTTTTTTCATTAAAAGTATATTTCTTAAATCACTTTAAAAAGCACATCTTTTTGCCTCTAGAAAGGGAAGTTGCATTTTCATTTTTAGTGTTTAAATTTAATTCTTTTTCTTGTTTTAGATTTTAAAATGGTCTAATTTAAAATTAAAGCTGCATTATGTTTGTCTTCCAAAAGGAAAGAGCAGAGATCAATCTTTCTTTTTCCAGAGAAAGTTATTTCTTCCATTTCAGTATCGGAATCAATACCAAACAGTGAAAAACAGACATTGGGTATTCTGGCAGCTATTTAGATATATCCCTGTGTATAAAGTTAGTGTAAACTTGTGGTGGTTAATTTAAATACATAGATCACATGCTGCTTTATTTACTCAATCAGAACATTTGATCCCTGGAAATCCACAGTTTTCATCTTTTAAGTTAGATTACAAAATTAATCCTGCTATCCCTATCTCATATGCCTTTTAAAATGTTATCATTTTTCAAAGGACAGATAACAAAATTGTCTCCTATATATAGTGCCCTTTGTCAAATCAAACCAAAATGTCTGTAGTGGAAGTCAAAACGTAATAAGTAGTCTATTTTGTCAAGAACCTGAAAAAAAATTTTCTTATGAAACTTTGGCTCTGTGATAAAATAACATGATGCAGCTTTAATAGAGAAAATCTAACTTAACTTCTTAAGTTCAACTTCATTCCATGCTCCTCAGCCTCTTGTTACGATTAATGCCCATTAACTGGTGACTTCTGAAACTAACCGAGAGGCTTTTGGAATACTGTATTTAATCTCTGCCCTACAGCACAAGCAGCGCTGCCCTGTGCTGGAGGACCAGTTGGTGGATCTGGTGGTTTATGCTATGGAGCGATCCGAGACTGAAGAGAAGTTTGACGATGGGGGAACCAGCCAGCTCCTGTGGCAGCATCTGTCGAGTCAGCTTATTTTCTTTGTGCTTTTCCAGTTTGCAAGTTTTCCACATATGGTTCTTTCTCTTCATCAGAAGGTGTGTCCTAAATCTTTTGGTCAGAGCAGCTTCCCCCTTCACCTGCGATTAGTATGTTTAGGCTGATTAGGGCATTCCCCAGTGATTTCAGCATGGGCAGAAGTTCTGAGCCCTAATTTCTGTCCTAGGTTTTAGGAGAAAATGTAAAAGAGGAAGTGTTGTGAGAAGGAAGGCAGGAAGGTTTCTTAACATGACACTGTAGGAACTGAATTCAGTCATTCACGCCACATATTCACAGTGCAGGCACCAGGGGATACAAGATAAAAAGCGACTGTAATACTTCAAGGAGCACCTCACTGGAGGGGAAGGTATACATGTAAACAATCTGATCATTATTTAATGGCTGTCACAATGGAAGCATGTTTCCCTGCAATGGGAATGAAAGAGAATGGTTCCTATCAAAGACACTAGGAATGACTCTATCAAAGAGATCTTTGACACTCAAGGGCGAATAGACATTTGCTAAGAGAGAAAGATAGGGAAGTGTTTCCCTAGCAATAAGATCATCATTTGGAAGGGGAGATAGGTGTGTGAGAGCTGAAAGGGAAAATGTAAAAGAAGAAGTTTGGTGAGATCAGGAAGGCAAGGGCCGACATGGAGAACTTTCTATGACCGTGTGCCTGTTCTAAGGAGGTTAATTTTTGTTTTTGTAGGCAATCAGGAAGGGGATGGCATCATCTTGTATAGTTAGAAAAATTACTGCCACTGGCCACAGAAGGAAAATAGTGGTGCAGAGATGGATGGGGGCAGAACCAGAGGCAGAAAGATCCTGCAGTGGGCTGGGGGAACCGTGGTTTGTATTTTTGTTTTTAGAGATAGGTTGAGTAGAACTAGGTGACCAGCAGCTGACACAGGGTATAATAGGACCCTCACTGCTATCTACTCTGGTAATGAATAACAGGGTAGGACAGTGAATCCAAAAAAAGGGAAGAGAAATAGAAGAATAAGTTTGTGGGCAAGTGGGTTTTTGCCACAAAGTTTTGGACACAGTGAATGAAAATAAATGTTATATTTGTAACATCTGTATAGGAGAAGTTATTTGGGGGAACATTTTTCATAAAAGTTATTAAAGTTCTTTTAACCACCCTCTCTTCACCCGACCATCGTTGGTGTCTGTTATAGAGGAAACCAGGAAAAGCATTTTATGATAACCTGTCCATGGTAATTAAAAAAAAAAAAAATCCTTTTGTTATAATAGAGTATATCCTATTTTTTGGTAATATTTTTAATAAGAATTATCCCATATTAAACTTGATTCTCCTGTACAATGTGATCAATTTGATTACATTCTCAAACATTGAATGTTTGATGTGCATAGTTATTTTGGAGAGCAGGAGAAAACATATATATAATAGTAAAATAAATAGTTAGGCTTTGCATGGTGTGTTTTGAATTGAGACCACATATTTAGTAAATGCCAAACTTAGATGCTTACTTTCCAAGACCAGAAACCTGAGCTTCTCTGGGGGGAAAAAAAAATTCCTACATTCCTCTTTAAGTAGCTATGTACACATCTGTATTTAAATATCTTTTACAGTTAGCAGGGCGAGGATTGATAAAAGGCAGAGATCATCTGATGTGGGTTCTCCTGCAGTTCATTTCTGGAAGTATTCAGAAAAATGCACTAGCTGATTTTCTCCCTGTAATGAAGCTCTTTGACTTGCTGTACCCAGAAAAAGAAGTAAGTTCTATTGAATTGTTAACAATGTGATAAATAAATTATGTTAATTTATGTTTGAGGATTCTAGTGTAATTTTGTGAAAAGAACGCTAGATATGGATGAGTTCTTTTTCCAATTCCATGGCTAACCATGACCATGAGAAGAGCATTCAGTATCGTTTGACATTAGTTTACTCGTGCAAAATGAAGGTATTAAACTAGATTATTTCTAAAGTTTATGCTAAATCACAGTAGAACATCAAATATAGCCAGCTCTTTCTCTACATTCTAAGTATGTCTACAGTTTTAAATAGCTCTAAAGCTACACATCAAATGGCCAAATAACAGCATCTATTGATATCTACTTTTCTGTTTGCCAAGTGAGTCTGAGTGTGTTTCCCTCAGTGTCTTGTTACATAAGAAATTTGAGTAAAATATGGTATATTTTCAAGATTGCCATTTTAAAGAAACATTTTATTATGGAATTTTCAAACATATACAAAATTAGAGTAAATAGAACATTAACTCACATACCCGTCATCAAGAAATATTCCTATTTCATCTTTCCTCCTTTTTAGTTAATGCTAGAATATTTTAAAGCAAATTTGAGACATCCATATCATTTCACATTTATATGTTTAAGGATTGTCGTTTACATTACATATTTCTTGAATTTTTACCTTTTTGGGGGATTGTATTTTTGTTTTTTGAGACAAGGTTTTACTCTGAAATTCAGTGACCTGAACACAGCTTACTGTAATTTCTAACTCCTGAGCTAAGTGATCCTCCTACCTAAGCCTCTTGAGTACCTGAGACTACAGGTACATGATACTATGCCTAGCTAACTTTTTAACTAATTAATTTAAGAGATGAGGTCTCACTGTGTTGCCCAGGTTAGTAACCAAGTGATCCTTCCACCTTACCTCCCCAAGTGCTGGAATTATAGGTGTGAGCCACCATGCCTAACCTCTGTTACATGTTCTTGAAAAGTATTCTGAGACTTGTAGAACTTCTGTGTTTTTAGTATATTTATCACAATCAGTAAGATTTCATAATGATGAGTTTTATGTTTTTTAAATAAAAATTTAAAACTGATTTTTGTTTGCAAATGCTCTGTGATAGTAGGAAAAGCTTGACTAAGCACTTGGGAATTTCTGTTACTTTCTTGGAAAATAATAACATGTCAAGTATAACATCTTTTAATAGTTTTAAGTTTTTGTGGCTGTTAGACTTTCTGATTTGTATTACTGAATAGTCAAGGGTTCATTTGGGCTAAATTAAGATAGGATTTTTTTTTTTTTTTTTTTTTTTGAGACAGAGCCTCAAGCTGTCCCCCTGGGTAGAGTACTATGGCATCAAAGCTCACAGCAACCTCCAACTCGTGAGCTCAAGTGAGTCTCCTGCCTCAGCCTCCCAAGTAGCTGGGACCACAGGCATCTGCCACAATGCCCGGCTAGTTTTTGGTTGCAGCCATCGTTGTTTGGCGGGCCCAGGCTGGATTCCAACCCGCCACCTTAGGTGTATGTGGCTGACGCCTTAGCCACTTGAGCCACAGGCAACGACCCAAGATAGGATATTTTAAAGAGAGATATACCAGAAATGGATTACAAAAATACATATAATTAGTTCTTCTTTTCTTATAATATGAATATTTTTATTTTTCAGTGTATCCCAGTTCCTGATATTAACAAACCCCAGTCAACTCACGCCTTTGCAATGACTTGCATTTGGATTCATCTTAATAGAAAAGCTCAAAATGACAACTCAAAGCTACAGATTCCAATACCCCATTCCTTAAAGCTTCACCACGAGTAAGTCATTTGTTGCTTAATATTTAATTTTCTTGTTTAATAAATAGTGGATTGAAACTAATAATGGTTTCAATATTTGTGTGCAGTGTGGAAATCCCTCCTAACCCTTTGGAGGTAGGGTAGGGATAAACATTTAATGAGTATGTCATAGTAAGAGAATCTGACCAGTACCCATATCAGGAAACTACTGGAAGTTTAGTGCTGCTTATACATAAAGATTTTTTTTTTTAATTTTCAAAGCTGATCTTTGTTTTTATGTGTTACATTTTAAAGTTACTAATTTAACAGAAGTGTATCTATTTTATTAATATGAAAATGTTTCAGAATTTCTCAAGTGCATGGGATTTGAACATGATCTGACTGAAATTATCTTTTACTCCCTGGGCTTCTGGGACTGATGGCACTGATGTGCCTGACATGCTCCCTTGTGTCTCTTCCAAAGCTGAGATGACTCAAGGAAGATGCCCTGTGATAGTACTGTGCTCTAGTCAAGGGTGCTAGGAGTAGCTGAACTGCCCACCTAGAACTTCTGGAAAGGAATGCCAGATCGCTTCATAAGAGACTCTAGGGTAGTCAGACTTGATATTTCACTTGGCTTTCATTGTCTGCAACACTGCTTAACCATTTTTTTCCATGGTGGTATCTATAATGAATGCATATTTTTGTACTTAAACAGATAATAAATAGAAACATAGTTCATGGTTTTATGAGTTATTTCTTTATTCTCTGAAACTGAGCCTGATACAGTGTTGTATATATGTAGAATATACTTAAGAAATACCCATCAATTGTTAACTTACGATGATTTAAGCATCTTCTGAAATGCTACCTAAACTTTTATGTATTTCCATTCTACATTTCACCCAGAAATTATATCTGTAAGAAGAAAGATAGCACCAATGAATAGTTGCATAAAATGGACCTTTTTAAAAAAAAATTTAAGTTTACTGTATCAAAATGATGTGCGTTTAATAAAATGTAAATTTTTAGGTTTCTCCAGCAGAGTCTGAGAAATAAAAGTTTACAAATGAACGACTATAAGATTGCCCTGTTATGCAATGCGTACTCCACAAATTCAGAGTGTTTTACATTACCAATGGGAGCGCTGGTGGAAACCATTTATGGAAATGGAATTATGAGGATACCTCTCCCTGGAACTAGCTGTTTGGCTTCAGGATCTATTACTCCCTTACCAATGAACCTCCTGGATTCACTGACAGTTCATGCTAAAATGAGGTATATTTTTTATTTATTTCATTCCATGTCAGTGAATTGATAGCAATATAGTATAAACTTTGATTTCATGATTGTATGTGTGTATTTTATGGTCAAATGCATTTGTAAAAATAGATTGATTTTGTTATAAAAATGAACATTGCTTATTATAGGCATTGTAGAATATACAAATAAGCCAAAGAAAATAATTGCTATAATCCCTTCATGAAAGGTAAGCATTGTAAAATTTTTGTATATATTTTAGAATTTGTTTTTCCCTATGGATAAATGTGTATATTACATTTAGTTTAACTTTTTTTCTCTTATGAGAAAAATGGAATCATACTGAAATACCCTTTTATAATCACCTTTCTCTGTAATAATCAAACACCTTTTGAGGTCTAGCAGCCTTCAAAAAGATTTTTAAAAATTCCTACAAATGGCTCGGCGCCTGTGGCTCAAGTGGCTAAGGCGCCAGCCACGTACACCCAAGGTGGCGGGTTATAATCCAGCCTGGGCCCGCCAAACAACAATGACAGCTGCAACCAAAAAATAGCTGGGCATTGTGACGGGCGCCTGTGGTCCCAGCTACTTGGGAGGCAGAGGCAGAAGACTCACTTGAGCCCAGGAGTTGGAGGTTGCTGTGAGCTGAGATGCCACGGCACTCTACCCAGGGGGACTGCTTGAGGCTCCTGTCTCAAAAAAAAAAAAAAAAAATCCTACAAAGATTGTTTTTGTGTAGCAGTATATGACTATTTATCCAGTTCTACTTTGTTGGACATTGAGGGTGTTTGCACCCTCTTAATGTTTAAAAAGATGTCTGTGAAGACTATCTGCATAGGGTGCCTGTCTTTGCACCCACCCACAATTACTTTTTCATTAAAAATTTGCTGATGCTCATCATCCCTAATCATCAGAGAAATGCAAATCAAAACCCCCTAACCCCAGCAAGATTAGCCAACCTCACAAAGTCCCCACGCTGTAGATACTGGTGCAGATGTGGAGAGAAGGGAAGACTTTTTTGTTTGGGGCTCTTTTTTTTTTTTTTTTTTTTTTTGCAGTTTTTGGCTGGGGCTGGGTTTGAACCCACCACCTCCAGTATATGGGGCTGGTGCCCTACTCCTTTGAGCCACAAGCTCTGCCCCGAGAAGGGAACACTTTTATACTGTTTGTGGGATTGCAAACTAATGGAGAATCCTCAGAGAACTCAAATTAGACCTCCCATTTGACCATGCAATCCCACTATAGGCATCTACCCAGAAAAAAAAAATTAGTTGATCATAAGGACATTTGCACTAGATTGTTTAATGCAATTCAATTTACAATTGCCAAGAAGTGAAAACAGCCTAAATGCCCATAAACTCAGGAATAGATTAATAAATTATAGTATATGCATACCACGGAATACTATTCATCTATAAAAAAGACAGTAACTTCACATCTTTTGTATTAACCTGGATGGCGTTAAAACGCATTTTTCTTAGTAAAGTACCACAAGAATGTAAAAGCAAATATCTGATGTATTCAGTACTAACATGAAGCCAGTGGATAGTCTAATGCACACCCACATAGGAGAAAAAACTCATTTCAATTCAAGTTGGGAGGAGGGGGAATGAGAGGGGTGCTTCCACTGAATGAGCAGAGTGTGGGGGGGTTTGGTGCACCTTTTGTGAGTGCAGGTTGTACTCTAGGGGACTCTACTTAACAAATTCAATTATTTTGACCTGGTTGTTTGTACCCTCACATTAACTTGAAATTAAAAAAAAAAAAATGCTGGAAGTAGAATTACAGAGTTTGAATGTGTGAACATTTTAAGCCTTTTACTTTATTGATTATAGGGACCCTTTTAGAATTGACATTATGGTTTCTATGAGACAGAAATGGCTCTGTTGGGTGTAATTCCAGAACTTCAAGTGCCGCATGGAGCCAAGCTGAGAGTTATAGAGGAGTGAAGCCTGGAGGTCTGTGAGTGGAAGGGGCTTAGGCCAGCCGGAGCTAATGTCTGCAGTATAAGAATGAGGACTTAGTGTAGTTAGATCTTCCAGAATTTTTTGAGATGGGATAGAAACCCAGATTTTTAAGTGTTGTCTCAGACTTAAAACTGCGTAGGCCAAAGACAACACATCCATGGACCTCCAGGTGTGTGTCAGTTCTCGTAAAACCAACCTCTTTTACAAATAGTAGACACTGTGACAGAATCTTACATGTGCTTCACTTGCATATGTGAGAGATTTGAGCAAAGTCCAGATAGAACCTGCAATTTTGATCATAGTGGTGATATTAAATAAATCTATGACAGAAATTATTTAATTTCTCAAATGTATTTTGTTACATCATGTGAAAAGAAAAACAGCGTAACATCAGTTTTACAACATTGCTAACTTGTGATCCTAACATCACAAGTATGCTCTTGTGGTTGTACCCAGTTTGTTTTTCCATGGGCAGGGAGATCCTGATGGATAGAAACAGGAGTTAGTCCCAGGTTGTACAGCAAGTGCATTGTTACCAAGTGTCCTGCACAACTTAAATGTATTAAATCAATCAGTTTCATTTGAATCATGTAAGTTCAGATTTATACTGGGCTACCTACAAGCAAAGAATCCCTTGTATTTATGTCATCTATATGGATGTTTATTTTCTTCCCTTTTTGTCTTCTCAGCCTTATTCACAGCATTGCAACCAGGGTGATAAAACTTGCTCATGCAAAGTCCAGTGTGGCCTTGGCTCCAGCCCTAGTGGAAACTTACAGTCGTTTATTGGTCTATATGGAGATAGAGTCTTTGGGCATTAAAGGATTTATCAGTAAGACAGGACTTTCTGATGTTTATAACCATTAATCTATTCATTAATTCAATGTTTTTTGGGGTTTTTTTTTAGTGTCAGGGGTATAGCAGAGAAGGAAATCACTGTCATGGAGCTTACACGCTAATAAGGGAGGCAATAAAGTAAATAAATATGTGGTATGTCAGGTGATATGTGTTCTAGAGAAAAAGAAAGCAAAACGAGGGATAGGAAGTGGGAGTCGGGAGATTGTTGCATTTCCAAATAAGTAAGAAAAAGCAAATGTACTAAGTGTTCAGAGCTCAGTGAGCAGGATAGTCAGGGTCCCCATCCTCAAGCAAGTTAGACTCTCCCCCAAGGAAGCAATGCTATTGTCTAGTGCATACTCAGTCTGACTAGCAATAGGGAAGGAGTTTTTCTACATTGCAGAAGATACCTTACAATGTCTGCTAGCTGTTATGCAGCTGTAAATAATAGATACTTTTATTGTGGAAGTGACTTTTTGATTCATGGTAATTCTAACTTTTTCAGTACAACATAATTTTAATTTTAAGCATGGTAACTCTTCTCAGATAATTGAGAGTTGAATAAAGCTAATACCCTTAACAAGGGTATTAAAAAGTGAAGTTTATACTTTGAAAGGTTAGGAACATTACCTTTCAAAAAAAATGTAAAAGATAACCAAGAAGTTAATTTAAAAGTGAGTAAGGTTAGAGTAATTTTTTTCATATATTGTCTCATTTACTTTTCCAGATGAACTTGAATATCATTTACCAAATTCAAGGAAAAAAGTAAACTTGATATTATAATTAGGATCTGGACTTTTTTCCTACTATTAAAGTAGAGAAGGAAAATATATATGTAAGGGTGTGTGTATGTGTGTGTATTTCATTATCAAATTTTTACATACATTTTATTCATTGTCACTTTATTTAAATGTATTTTAATGCATAGCTTTTAATAATTGATGCTTTAAATTGTCTCATTCTTCCAGGTCAGCTTTTGCCAACTGTTTTCAAGTCACACGCATGGGGGATCTTGCACACACTCCTTGAAATGTTCAGCTACCGGATGCACCACATTCAGCCCCATTACAGAGTTCAGCTCCTGAGCCATCTTCATACTTTGGCTGCGGTTGCACAAACGAACCAGAACCAGCTCCACCTGTGGTGAGTTCATTAAAGACTGTTTTTCTTTTTTCTGTTTTGTTTTTTTTGCTGTTTTTGGCCGGGGCTAGGTTTGAACCCACCACCTTCAGTATATGGGGCCGGTGCCCTACTCCTTTGAGCCACTGGTGCCACCCAAGAAGACTGCTTTTCCTTAAGATTTACTAGAAACTTTGTTGGAGCTTGGGATCTTAATCCTTTATCTTATAATAATATTTTTATTCATTTGTCATAGAACTCCTTTGCTTCTAATTCATTTTATGTCTAGTATAGGAGTGGAGTTCAATTTTTTATATAGAAATTGATTAATTTAGTTGAGTAATTGTTTTAGGATTTTTTTGACTGAGAATTAGTACCTCCCGTGCCTTTATTTTTATCTTCTAATTTAGCCCTTTAGAATGCTGGACTTAAATTATACTTTAGGTTGTGATTTAAGTGTCATGTCATTTTGCTTTTGCTTTGAATTATATTTTATATAAAAAAATATAATTTTTAAAATGGTACATATCCAGGTGACATTTTTTAAGTCCTATAGACATCAAGCTATCTTTTTACAATGTATTAAAATGTCAGATGGTTTTCACTATAAAATTTGGCACTCCAAGATTTTTTTTTTTTTTTTTTTGAGACAGAGCCTCAAGCTGAGCCCCTGGGTAGAGTGCCATGGCTTCACTGCTCACAGCAACCTCCAACTCCTGGGCTGAAGTGAATCTCCTGCCTCGGCCTCCCAAGTAGCTGGGACCACAGGCACCTGCCACAACACCCGGCTATTTTTTGCTGCAGCCATTATTGTTGTTTGGCGGCCGGGCTGGATTCAAACCCTCCACCTTAGGTGTATGTGGCTAGCGCCTTAGCCACTTGAGCCACAGGCGCCGAGCCCACTCCAAGATTTTTAAACAAATTAAGCAATATTCTCACACAAGAGAAGTATGATTTTTTTTAATTAAACAAGGGATATTCATAGTTTGCATGTTTTTCCTTTATAATTAGCCTAGAATTAGATTTAATTCTGTAATTTTGAAATTTTATGTAGGACTTTTCACATTTCTTTTTGCTCTCCTACCTTTTAGTGTTGAGAGCACTGCTCTCAGGCTGATAACAGCATTAGGTAGCTCGGAAGTACAGCCACAGTTTACACGCTTCCTCAGTGATCCCAAAACAGTGCTGTCAGCAGAATCTGAAGAATTAAACCGTGCCTTGATACTGACCTTAGCTCGAGCAACTCATGTAACAGGTACAGTTGCAAACAACAATACCTAAAAAAGATGAGTTAAAGGGTGCTGGGATTCTTTTAATTACTATGGGTATAACAAACTAAAAAGATACTTTTCATTTGTTCAAAAAAAGCCATTCGTTTTGATATCTTCATTGTGTCACCTATGAATGGAAGCTCACTTGTATACCACCCTTCTAACTGGCTTTCATACATAACAGGAATTTTGGAAAACTTGAATTCACTTGGTTCACTGAATTTTGTAGATCTAGCAGATGTTGGCACACTTCATTATACAGCATTAGAAAATTACATTTATAATATCACTAAAATTTTTATTAGAAAATCTTTAAGTTTGGAAATGCTATCATGTCATGGTTGTGGATACAAGTTTTCCAAAATTCCATAACAGCCATCTTACATAATTTTTAAGTAGTGGTTCTTTTTTTTTTTTTTTTTTTTGAGAGAGAGTATCTCAAGTTGTTACCCTTGGTAGAGTGCCTTGGCTTCACAGCTCATAGCCTCAAACTCTTAAGCGATTCTCTTGCCTCAGCCGCCCCAGTAGCTGGGACTACAGGTGCCCACCACAACACCAGGCTTTTTTTTGTTGTTGCAGTTGTCATTGTTGTTTAGCTGGCCCAGGCTGGGTTCGAACCTGCCAGCTTTGGTGTATGTGGCTGGCACCGTAACCACTGTGCTATGGACACTGAGCCTAAGTAGTAGTTCTTAAGCTTTTTGTTCTCAGGACTGCCTGTTGCTCTTAAAAATAAATCGAAATTCCCAAAGAGCTTCTATTTATATGGATTATATCTGTGGATATTTATTTTATTAAATATTGAAATGGAGACATTTTAAGATATGTATTTACTAATATATTTAAAATAATAACAAACTCATTCCATGTTAGCATATATTATATAACACATTTTTATTTTAAAAAAGTATATTTTCCAAAGCCAAACTTTAGTGAGGAGAGGCACCATTATTTCATGTTTTTGTTTCTCTCTTTAATGTCTGATGTAAAGGAAGGTATCTGGATTTTCAGGTGTGCTTATACATTTAGTCTGTTGCAGTATGTTAATGCTATTTTAGTTGAAGCAAGTGAAAAAAACTGCCCTCACACAGATGAAGTTGGAAAAGAGAAGAGTATTTGAATAGCCTTTTTGTATAGTTGTGAATGTTTTTGATTTCATACCAAAATTGGAAAATTGATAGTTCCTTAAAGGTTAACTGCAATGAATCCCAAACCCTAACAGTGAACTTCTTGTACTTGGTTATATTGGAATCCATTCATCTATTTTGTATATCTAATGAATTCTTTCTTAAATTTGTTTATTTTCGAGACAGATTCTTGTGCTGCCACCCACACTAGAGTGCTATGGCATCCATCCACCTAGTTCACAGAAACCTCAAACTCTTGGGCTCATGTGATCCTCCTGCCTCAGCCTCCCAAGTAGCTAGGACTCTAGATGCCTACCACAGCTCCCAGCTAATTTTCTGTTTTTTTAGTAGAGATGGGAATTTGCTCTTGTTCAGGCTTGTCTTGAACTCCTGAGCTCAAGGGATCTTCGTGTGTCAGCCTCCCAAAGTGCTAGGATTACAGGCTTGAGCCACCAAGCTCAACCTCATTTAGTAGATTTTTAAATTTTTGCATATTTTGTAACTTCATGAATTGGTTGTTCGGAAAATGTTGGTTCGCTGAATTTTGTAGATCTAGCAGATGTTGGCACATTTCATTATACAGCATTATAAAATTACATTTATAATATTATTAAAATTTTTATTAGAGAATATTTAAGTTTGGTAATGCTATCATGTCATGGTTGTGGATACGTTTTCCAAAATTCCAATTTTTACTTGTAAGGTCAAATTTTACCATTGGTAAAAGATATCATCATTTGTTCTCCTTGAAGTAACAAGCTCCCTGTTAATTTTTAAGAAAATATGTGCTAAATGTCTTAAGACTGAATAACTATAGTTTCCTGTCAGATATTCTTTCAAGTAAAATTGGAATTTCATAGAAAAAAATCACCTGATTAATGCAGTGTACAAACAATCAAACAGTGCTTTTTCTCAAGACACCCATCCATCATAGTTAAAAAAAAAAAAAACACTTGGTATATGCTTCCCAGTTTGTCACATGGGTTATTAAAAATAGATGTCGAGCTGGGTGTGGTGGCTCATGCCTATACTGCTAACTCTCTGGGAGGCCAAGGTGGGTGGATTACTTGAGCTCAGGAGTTTGAGACCAGCTTGAGCAGGAACATCTCTAAAAAAAGAAAAAAAGCCAGTGGGCAGTGCCTGTGGCTCAGTGAGTAGGGCGCCAGCCCCATATACTGAGGTGGTAGGTTCAAACCTAGCCCCAGCCAAACTGCAACAAAAAATAGCTGGGTGTTGTGGCGGGCGCCTGTAGTCCCAGCTATTCGGGAGGCTGAGGCAAGAAGAGCTATGAACTGTGGTGCCACTGTACTCTACTGAGGACAACAAAGTGAGACTCTGTCTCTAAACAAAAAAAAGAAAGAAAAATAGCCAGTTGTTGTGATGGGCACCTGTATGTAGTCCCAGCTACTCAGGAGGCTTGAGCAAGAGGATGGCTTGAGCCCAAGAGTTTGAGGTTGCTGTGACCTATTTTGCCATGGCACTCTACCAAGGGTGACAAAGTGAGACTCTGTCTCAAAAATAATAATAACAATGTCAAGATTTAGTGATTTTTACTGCTTCATGAACAACATTCTTACGTGAAACTGGCACTTTTTTTTTAACTGAGAGCCTGTGGCAAAGAAAACAATGGCTGTCATACAGTCTGATTCCACTATTTGATTTGTGTGCAAGGCCAGTAATTTACCACCATCAGCACACATACCAACACATTAAGAAAGCCAATGAGGCTCGGAACCTGTGGCTCAAGTGGCTGAGGTGCCAGCCATGTACACCCAAGGTGGCAGGTTCGAATCCAGCCTGGGCCCACCAAACAACAATGACAGCTGCAACCAAAAATTAGCTGGGCGTTGTGGCGGGTGCTTGTGGTCCCTGCTACTTGGGAGGCAGAGGCAGGAGACTGGCTTGAGCCCAGGAGTTGGAGGTTGCTGTGAGCTGTGATGCCACTGCACTCTACCCAGGGGGACAGCTTGAGGCTGTGTCTCAAAAAAAAAAAAAAAGAAAGCCAATGATATCTTGGTATTATTATTTAATAAGTTTGAATCACTGAATCCTTGAAAAGGTATTAGGGACTCCCTCTTCTCCCAAGAAGTCTGCAGGCCACACTTTGAGAACTGCTGCTTTATGTAAATATATTTTTTTTTAATTTTTATTTTTTTAAATTTTTTTTTCTTTCTTCCTTTAGCGATTCTCTTGTCCTTTGCCTCCAAAGTAGCTGGGATTACAGGTGCTCACCACAAAGTCTGGCTTTTTTTTTTTTGTAGAGACAGGGTCTCACTCCAGTTCATGCTGGTCTTCTGCTGGTCTTGAACTCAGCTGAGCTCAGGTGATCCACCCGCCTTGGCTTCCCACAGCACTGGGACAACAGGCATGAGCCACCACACCTGGCCTGTAAATAGTTTTTAAATTAAAAAATTTCAAACATAGACATGTAAACTACATTATTTTATGTAAATGAACTTACTATACTTGCAATATATAGTTGTGTCACTCACCAAGAAAGACATCTACTGTCTTAATTCTATTTTCTTGGCCCAATAAAGTACTGGTAAGTCATTGTCAAAGTGAACTAAGTGCGTAACAGCGCTGGGCCTGTACTACTCTTATATTACTGGCAGTCTCTAACTGAAAACAGTGAGATTCCAAATGTCTTTTGTTATGTTTTAACTAATTGTACTCATACTTACTAGTATGATCATCTGTGATCATCCAAATCACTCATAAACTAAGAAAATTTGGGTCCTAAACTAGTTATAATGAGTTAAGTATTGCAGTGACTGTACTGCAGAGAAATTCTCTGAGTGCACATAGTTGTTTGTGATTTTCTCTCTGATACCTTTTATAACTTGTGGATATGATTATTTATATCTAGATTACATCTCTTTTTTTATGTTTAGATTTTTTTACAGGTTCTGATTCCATTCAGGGAACTTGGTGTAAAGACATACTTCAGACCATCATGAGCTTTACTCCTCATAATTGGGCTTCACATACCCTTAGCTGTTTTCCAGGCCCGCTACAGGTAATTTGATATTGAATTATTTATCATATACATATGAAATACTTCTTTCCAGGCACAGTGTTATTCTAGAGAGTTAGTCTTGGTGATAGCTGAAGAAAATCAGCTTTTATTTGTTTTTTAAAAAATGTTATTACTTCCCAAATCCTTAATGGTGTTCTTTGTCCTACTCTAGGATTTGGTTATTAATTATTGTGGTTTCATCTTAATAGTTAACAGTTTTAGAATCTCATTACCTAAAAAATGCTTTCTCTTTCATGGAACTGAAATGGGGAGAAATATAATTTAATGAAGCTTAACAGAATGTGCATAGTGAATTCTGGCCAAGAAGTGGCCATAGAAGTTCATGTGCAATTTAAGATTGCACATGAACTTTATGGATATCCTATATATTACAATTAGCTGAATCTTCTTAACTCACACAGAAAATATGTAAATATGGCTTTTATAATATCCACATTATAAGGCAAACCTCATCTGTCTTCTACTTTTCAGAGAAAATTTAAGGCATGGTAACCGTCCATTTGCAGTGGTTCTCACTTCTTAGAGTAACCTGGAGGACTTACTAAGCCATAGTGTGCTGGGGCCCGGCCTCAGTGCTTCTGAGTCAGTAGATCTGCAGTTGGGCTAGTGTAATGGAGATTCCTCATAGAGACACTGACATAAGTAACTAAAATGTAGGTATAATCCTCCCTCTCACCCCCCAGCTTTTTTTTCTTTATGCTCTGAGACAAGCAGAAATATCAACAGATGATTAAAGAGGCTTTGAATTCAAGCTTCTTAGCATTTCTATTTAGGAATTCTAGAAAAAGAATCTTATAAGTAGTCTAGTTAAGCCTGTGTACTTTCCAGGTATACAAATTCAGACTTTAATTACTGCGTTGCTCAAGATCACTGAACAGTATGTTGATTTCAGAATTGAGTCTAAAACTGGTTTCATAACTCCATATCTGGTGTTCTTCTTACTATTATCAATGAAATAAACTTTTGGTCTTCCTTTTAGGCATTCTTCAAACAAAATAATGTACCTCAGGAAAGCCGCTTTAATCTGAAAAAAAATGTGGAGGAGGAGTACAGGAAGTGGAAGTCAATGAGCAATGAAAGTGACATCATCACCCACTTTGTGCAGAGCTCCCCTCCACTCTTTCTTTGTCTTCTCTGGAAAATGCTCTTGGAAACAGATCATATTAATCAGATAGGCTATAGGTGAGCCAAAACCCTAATTTACATGCTGTTTGGCAAACTGTTACATCCATACCGCTATGGAAGTTACATTTTACTCTCTGCCTTCCAGGGTATTAGAGAGAATTGGAGCCAGGGCCTTGGTGGCCCATGTGAGAACATTTGCAGATTTCCTGGTATATGAGTTCTCTACCTCAGCAGGGGGTCAGCAACTCAATAAATGCATTGAAATTCTTAACGACATGGTATGGAAGTACAACATTGTTACATTGGACAGATTGATTCTTTGTCTGGTAAGAATAAATACATTTCTAAACTTCCTGTATTTATCTCACTGTAAACAAGTATCACTTTGTAAACTAGCACCAGTCCATAACTTCTGGGGACTACACTGCCACAGGTAGGAGTTAAAACTTTATGCAAATGCTAAATATTTGTAAGTTTTCTGTTTAATTAAAGGAATTAATAGTTAAGTCTTTTATTCAATTGCTAAATATTCTCTAAGTTCTGTTTAAGAGTATGTGTTTAAATCTAAAAAATATATTACTATAACTTCTGAAAATTAAGAAGCAGCTCTATCACATTTGAAGGCAGGAATAGACTTTGATGTTTGAGAATGCAACTAATTTAAATGAGTTACTACAGCTAAAATGATTAAGACACTATTGCTAACCTGAGAGAAATGTAATGAAAATGTATGCTTCCCTTGTGAAAATATTAAAATGTAGATACCAAAAAAGGAGGGGGCATTGAAAATAAAATAAACTCTATAAATTTAATTAAACTGTTTTTCTTCAAACGTCACACTAGTTATTGAATCAGTAATAATTTCTACTTGTCCAGTATAAAGTATTACTTGTTCTAAATGAATAAACTAGTGATCTTTCACTGTTTTTAATCCAGAACTGCTTTGTCCAAACTACAACTGGAGAATGGTTGCTGGTATGTTTCATGTGCTACATCAAGAAAGTGGAAACAGGGTAATTGCAGGTTGAAAACAGAAGCAGAAGACCTAAATATCATGATAAATTCCTGTAAAAAGTCTTTGCTTCAGAAGAATAGAAAGATGAAAGGCCCTTCAAAATATGATACCATTTTTCAAATTGGCTTTCAACTTTGTTTACAACTTTATAGACCACATAGTGAACTGACGTAAAGTAATATTAAGACTATCAACTTACAGAATATGCCTTAAGAATATGCCTCACTTCTAAAGAAATGAAATTAGTAAATACATGTTTATATGTTGATTACCTAAGTAACAGTGCTACCTATTATTGGATATGTATTCTGGTTTATTAACTCTATAAAAATCAAAATTCCCATAACCAAAAAAGAAATCTTCTTGCTTCTAATACTTGAAAACTGTAATAATTAAGGAATTAGTCTATGTGACTCCCTAAGGCAAATATGGTACCAGTGAATGAAACTGACAGGTATCAGGTTATGTGTTAACTATTAGCACAAATAATGAAAATGGCTGTCAAAAAAAAGAAAAGAAAAGAAAGAAAGAAAATGGCTGTCTAAGAATGAAGGTGACTATATTTGTTACCAGAGAAAATCAAGCCAAAACTAGATAATCAACCATGGAACCAAAATAATTTTCTAAAGTTCTATTTAATATTAAGATTCTGTCATTCTATAGTTGTCTTAACAAAGGGATAAAATATTTACTAGCACTTGGCTAGAACCCGCCTTCTCTTGTACAGCAGATGAAATGGGCGTGATAGAATTTTGGTGAAATGAATCTAACTCTGTCTATTGAGGGACGTCAGTATTCTTTTATTATGCTCCTGTAGTTGAGGTTACTCATTGGCTAAAAGAATTGTTTTCAATACAAGTATGAGACAAATGTTAATGTAATACAATGTGGCGTGGCATGATTAACAAAATTATTTTTAGTAATAAGGTCATACAGTTTTATGCTCACTACCTTTTAAAAAAGTATTAGAAAAGATTGTGGAGATGAAGGTTTTCTTACTCTCTTTTGAATCCAGGTGTATGACTGATAGAACTTGTGTTGATGTACTCCACATTGCCTTAAAGAATTTAATAGATTTATATTATATTTAAATGTTGCTGTTCCTTCCCTAAGGAGCTAGAGGTCTCCCAGTTCCCTTATCATTCATTCAATAAGGTGTATTGAGTACCTACTATGTTCCCTGGACAGAAGATACAAAAGTAAATAAAATAGATAGGGTCCTAATCTTGTAATGCCCTAGAAATATAAGCAGCTGAACCCTGAATTGATTCTCTAAAGACTCCCACTAGAGGCAGGAAGTAGTAACAAGTGGCTGCATTCTTTGGGGAATGCTCATGTAACCATTTCTGTACTAAAGGCAGAGTGCTAATATAACCATTTCTGTACAGTTAGTAGCCCCAGTCATAACTGAATGTTTCTCATAGCCACCCAACCTCCCCCAAATGTTTTTTTCTTCTGACTGTTGTTATATCTATTTCAAGAAAAATTGTAAGAAAAGACACTGAACTACGGTAGAGAATGCTGCATTAACGAAAAGTTCTGTGATGGTGATAATTTTGGGTGGCTTAGCTTGCTAACATTAACCCCCTAACTGTCAAGCATAGATACAAAATTAGTTATAATATATTAGAGGAAATAAGGTAAGTCTATAAACCAGTAAAACAAAAGGATAAGATAGAGACGTGGGGAAAAATAGTACCGGAAAACAGAAATCACAGCAACCTAGGAGATAGTGATGGTTAGATTAAATTTAAAAAAAAAAAAAAAAAAAGATAAACATTGTAGACAGAAGGAATTATGAGTTATGCACAGGCCCCCAAAGAGGTCAGATATGTTTGGGGAATGCTGAAGGCTTGGATTGGGATAGACTGGACATCTAAGGAAATTCTAATAGTAAGATTTTACTCTATTAAAATTTAGACTGTCAAATGGCAGAGCCTTGCTTTTGCACAGGTTGGGCATTTTTACAAAATCTTTCTGTTGTTCTTCAAAGGCCATGCGTAGTCATGAAGGAAATGAAGCCCAGGTGTGTTATTTCATAATTCAGTTGCTGTTACTCAAACCAAATGATTTTAGAAATCGAGTAAGTGACTTTGTGAAGGAAAATTCCCCAGAGCACTGGCTCCAGAACGACTGGCACACTAAGCACATGAATTATCACAAGGTAGGAATTCTAATGAGTGTTTCAGATAATCCTTTTAAAGCCACAGTTAAGTGTTTGATGAATTGATTTGGCCTTTTTCTGTATGGTTCTAATGTTTTCTGTGTCTGTATAGAAGTAAATTAGCTCTCTAAGCTTCTTCAAGGTTCTGGAGTTTCTCTAATGTTAGAAATAAATTGTAATTGTGTTTTAGTAGACATAAGTATGATATAAAAAGTAAATTATAATAAAGTACAATTTCTATTTCCTTATAAAAATATCTGAATAATATTTCAAGTTTATTTTGTACTTGTAAGAGAGTAAAAAAAAAAGTACTCTAAACATTTATCCTTTCCTTACTTCCATAGAAATATCCTGAGAAGCTGTATTTTGAGGGCCTGGCGGAACAGGTTGAACCTCCTGTACAGATCCAGTCCCCCTATCTGCCCATCTATTTTGGAAATGTGTGTCTACGATTCCTTCCAGTATTTGATATAGTGATCCACAGATTTTTAGAGTTGCTTCCAGTATCCAAATCACTGGAGACTCTACTGGATCACCTCGGAGGCTTATATAAATTTCATGGTGAGCTTATTCAAATGTTAATTTCATCTAGTCCCTGTGTAAACAGAAGTAGGCTGGCCATGACTGTATGGTAAAAGTGGGTCTAAAGGTTTTCTTCTAATTATTTTTAAAATAAAAGTGTTTTGAGGATAATTGCCATGGATGATGCCATGAAATATAAACTATACAGTGCTAAAATATGGATAAAGGAATGAGTTCAGACAGAGTGATATTACTGTAAGTTAAATACACCTTGGCGGGCTTCTTGGATAGGTAGGATTTAAACTGATATATGTGATTTGTTTTTGTTTTGTTTTTTCTTGTGATTTGTATAAGGAGGGAAAAGAGAACATACTAGGCAGAAGGGGTCATTTGGGAAAATGATAAAGATAGATAAAATAAGACATATTTGAAGAAAAAAATTTTCCCCCACTAATAAAATGTACTGAAGTCATTGTTCTGCAGCTTTTTTTCTTTTATTATCTATTAAGGTTGATGATTTCTATCAGTACATATAAATCTCATACATGCCATAATTTATATCCCCCGCTTTTGACAAATTGGGTTATTTCTAATCTTTTGCTAGTAGAAACCGGGCAACAAAGAATTCATTGCTATGTGTCATTTTTCTGGATAAATTTGTAGAAGGTGAATTGCTTTCACTCAGATGCCCAGTATTGTAAATGCTAATGGTATGTATTGCTCCATGCTTTCTGAGCCTTCTGCTAGTTCCAAGATTAAAATATTCATTGTATACCGTTGCCTAGCATGTTGCAACAGTTTCACAATCTCATGAGGTATTTTTCAGTTATCTGGGAAGATTAGCTTTTCATAGTTGTCAGTAACAGGATAAACACTGTGATGATGTTTTTTTCTTGCAGATCGTCCAGTGACTTATCTGTATAATACTCTGCACTATTATGAAATGCATCTGAGAGAGCGCAAATTTCTCAAGCGAAAACTTGTCCACGCGATCATTGGTTCGCTCAAGGATAATCGACCACAGGGCTGGTGTTTAAGTGACACTTACCTAAAAAATGCCATGAATGCACGAGAGGAAAATCCTTGGGTCCCAGATGACACCTACTATTGCAGATTGATAGGCAGACTAGTAGATAATATCCTTTTTATTGTGATTTTACAGACTCTCTAGAAATAACAGGATTTTGATTTATGAGAATACATGTTTTCTTTTTAAGGTAATATTTTTATATATTTCAAGGCTTTACATTTTAAAGATCACTTTCCTTTTTACCTCTATATATAAAGATTGAATTCTTAAATCAGCAGCATCATTCCACATAGGCTTTCCATTAAAATGGATTCTTTCCATTAAAATTTGTATTTAACAACAGAGTTCATGAAGATTTGTTCAAAAACAAAAAAACAGACTTCATGGAGATTTGTTTCAAAGAAAAGCATCCTATTCTGAAATAAATGTTCTACATATTGCAACACATGTTATCTATGTGCTCTTGGAGAACATAGGATCTTTAAGGATTCAAACAATAAAAGGGGTGGGTGTAACTTTGCTCTGTCTCCCAAGCTACAGTGCTGTGGCCTCATCATAGCTCATTGCATCCTCAAACTCGTTCAAACTTTTTATCTCATCCTCTGAAATAGCTGGGACTGTAGGCATATGCCACCACACTTAGCTATGCTTTCTAATTGTTTTTTTATAGAGAAAGATTCTTGTCTTTTACTCAAGCTGGTCCCAAACTCCTGGGCACAAGCGATCTTGCCTCCTAGGCCTTATTAATATATATTTTATACACAATCAAATTAATGGTAAAACTTATTTTGATTTTTTTAGTGAAAAAGCTGTACTCAGTTTTTCTTCCTTTTGATTTTATGTTTTCAGTTGTTAGCACTCTATTCTGTTTTGTTAACTCAGCGTATTATAGAGGTACATATATTTTGATCACGTATTTGCATTCGTGTATTTTAAGTCGATGATATAAGTATGCCCTTCACCTAGAATATGTTCATTGCCCCTGTTAGGTGTGAATTGTACCTCTCTTCCCTCCTCTCTTCCCTCCATCTCAATATGATTTCTGTTGGATTTTACTTCCAACAAGCACTCTATTCTTAATTATGTCTGTGACTACCACTATTTACTAGATAGGAAAATTTTACATAAATGAGATTGACTTACTTTTCTTACAGTAAAGAATTTATTTTCTGGAGTATAAGAATTACTATAAAATAATTTTTATAGTAATGTCTTAAACAATTATAATAAATGGGTTATGAAGCCTGGGGATGCTTCAGTTGCAGCTGCAGCTATTAACATGTCATGGTTATAATAGCACATGTATAAGAACGATTTATACCTTGTGGTTGAAATGTATTTCAGTTGTGTAAAACTTAATTGTATTTGGTTTGCACTATTTGCCTCTTAATATCTCTAGCTATAGATAAATCACTTCTTGATAGCTAATAATCAGATAAATTGATAATCAAATGATAGTCAAAATGTTATTGCTTTAATTGTCTGCACCGATGGCTGGCAAATCTCCTGGTCCCTTCCCAAACTGTGACTGGAGATTCAATGAGTTTCCCAATCCGGCTGCCCACGCTCTGCATGTCACTTGTGTGGAGCTCATGGCCTTAGCAGTTTCAGGCAATGAGGTTGGGAATGCACTTCTAAATGTTGTCCTGAAAAGGTATGTATCCTCTTCGATGCCGTAAGATTCATTGTTAACTTGTAAAGAAAATTGTATTTTATTTGGAGCTATTAGACAAACCTGTGCCCCTGAGACCAGTGCACATTAGATGATAGTACCTTCTGATTACAGATCTTGTCTTTGTGATACAGGGGTAACAGAATGAGCTCTAGACAGGGTCAGTCCTGGGTTGGTTTGTGCTTCGCTTTATTAGCTCCTTGACATTAATTTAGAAATAATGTTAACTTGTCACTAAAAACAGTCTTTTAAGACACTCCTAAAGATTAGCATAGAATAAGGATAGTGATTGGAGAAGTTTTTTTTAAAAAGCTTTATCTTTTGTGTGTATTTCATTTTTATTCAATAATTTAAATATCCATTGTTTTATTGGAGTGGATGAGTTTGAATCCTCCAAATTATATACATTCTCAAAATAAGATCCATTATCAACCATATAAAATGTTTTTATAATTTCACCTTTGTATTCTTTTTTGCCCACTTGCAGTCAGCCCTTAGTGCCAAGAGAGAACATTACCTCATGGATGAATGCAATTGGTTTGATCATCACTGCCCTACCAGTGAGTTAATAACCATAATTTGTACTGAGTGGCAAAGTACAGCTAGCCTATTCCCTGTTAGCTAGAAAGAAAAGTTGCATATAAGGTGTCCTTGTGTAAAGGCATCATGCAAATTAACAAAGTGTTTCATGCTTTTAGAATCTTTGATACTCCTTAAAAAATCTACAATGAACTTTTTTTTTATTTTATTAAATCTAAATGTATGTACATGACTTACAGGCATGTGTGTCCTGTGGTACCACCTCACCTACCCAAACTTCATTTTTACTTCATTATCTGATCTACTTTTGGCCAGTTAACATGTTATGTGTCTAGAGGCTTTGCTCATGCAAATCGTGTTTGTTGAGACGTGTGTTGGATACTTCTGATATGGTGGTGAATAAGACATTAATCTTATTCCAAAACCGTTCTTCCTTCCATTACCTACTCATTCTTTGCTAGCCTAGAGCTTCCTTCCTCGGAGAGGTCTTCTCTGACTTCTCTTGCTCTCCTGAAGTCTCCCTTCTCTGATCTCCACGTGTGTCTAGTCTGCACTACACAGTTGAATTAGTGCGTGGTAAATACCAGGTACCGAATAAGCTGGGGAGAATTAGGTATGAAGTCCCCTAACTCACAAACACTCCTCCTTAGGCCATTACTGACTGAATCTCACCCATTATGCATTGTGCAGATATAAACTGTATTAAGTAGAAAACTTTAAAGAAGGAGAAAGCACTGTTACTTTAGGATTTGGGGCAGATACTGGATAAAGTAGTGTTTTTCACCAGGCTTTCCTCTGGTTTTAAAGGAGCCATATTGGATTGTCCTTCATGATCGAATTGTGAGTGTGATTAGCAGTCCCAGCTTGACGTCTGAAACAGAGTGGGTTGGCTACCCATTCCGCCTCTTTGATTTCACAGCCTGTCATCAGTCCTACTCTGAGATGAGCTGTAGCTATACCTTAGCTCTCGCACATGCTGTGTGGCACCATTCTAGCATTGGGCAACTTTCTCTCATTCCAAAGTAAGTACCACAGTTCCTTAAAGAAATTTTCACGTATTTTCTTTCTTTTCTAATCTCATTAATAGATGTGGTATTATGTCTAATTCATCAACAGCTTGCAAAGTAAGAGTGTATTCATTAAGTAGTTTCTGGTTGAGCAGAAAGCCTCTTATATTTCAGAAGTGTTTGAAAAAAACTGATTTGTATGTGCAAGTAATAATCTGGTATCTAGTTTTCCATTATAATCATTACTCAACATTTCAGCTAGGATTAAGTATAGTTTTCCATTACAGTTTCAGAATACTTAGTCAAGTGCATGCTTTTCTCCAGAATATATCCTGAAAGTTGCCTTTGAACTGAATAACTGAGATTAGCCTATTTCCTAATTATTTTTCTTTACCACAGAAGTGGTATTAATTAGATTCAAATTTCTTGAGAATGGCATTTGTTAGTTACTCTCTTTTTTTATTTCAGATAATTCAACTCTGTCATTTGGTAGCTTTACTGCTAAGAATGATGCCTAAATCTGATTATTTCATTAATCAATCAAATGAAAATGAGAGCCAATGGGAGATGTAAGATTAATTAGAAATATTTTTACCAAAATTAAAAGGAACTTGAAAAATTATTACAGGTTTTGTAAATACCATGTTATCAAAATTAAAGCATTTCACCTAATTTTAAGTCATAAAACATACTTATTTTTATCTTCAAATTTTAGATTTCTTACTGAAGTACTTCTTCCCATAGTAAAGACTGAATTCCAGTTGCTGTATGTATACCATCTTGTAGGACCATTTTTACAAAGATTTCAACAAGAACGAACTCGATGTATGATAGAGGTAAAATCTGTTCTGGGTTTTCTGTGATATGATTCAATTCTGAAGCATCTATTTAGGTTTTGTAACCAGAGTTTTCAAAACTGTAGGTCACAACTATTGGAAGTAAAACTTGCTTATTAGCATCTAAGAGCAATTTTAGAGAACTTATTGCACCTACAATGAGTTTGGAATGGAATATGTTGATTGGAGATGCAGGCATAAATACCCTTCATCAAGGCTGAGAAGGAAGTGTTTTGTTTTTTGGGTTTTTTTGTTTGTTTGTTTGTTTGTTTGTGAGAGACAAAGTCTCAAGCTATTGCCCTGGCATCATGGCTCCCAGCAACCTCCAACTCTTGGGCTCAGGCTATACTCTTGCCTCAGTTTTTCTATTTTTGGTAGAAACGGGGTCTTGCTTTTGCTCAGGCTGATCTCAAATCCATGAGCTCAAGCAATTAACCCACCTCTGCCTTCCAGAGTGAGAGGATTACAGGTGTGAGCCACTGCACTGGGAAGGCTGAGAAGAAAGTTAAAGTTGGCTAAGTACATTTGAGAACTCCCAATGTGAAGGAATTAAAATTAAATATATTTGAGAACTTGTGGGCAACGCCTGTAGCTCAGAGGAGTAAGGCGCTGGCCCCATATGCCAGAGGTGGCAGGTTCAAACCCAGCATTGGCCAAAAACTGCAAAGAAAGAGAGAGAACTTGCAGTACAAAGGAATTAATTAAAATTATGAGAATAGATAAGGTCAATCACTCCTACCAAGAGTCAGAGAAAAAAAAAATGAACCAGGAATAGAACCTTAAAAATGAACCACCAAATGGAAGTAAGAATGTATAGTCCAGGATCCCTGAGGATGCAGTTATTCTAGAAATTGAGAGATTATGTCTAGAAAGGGTTTGTCTCTCTTAATTTTAAGCTATGAAGAGAAATTCAATCTAAGCTCTGATAGGGGGCATTTTGTAGCACTATGGGTTCTATTATAAATGCGGGCCATGTCATGGCTCCCATACACATGGAGGTGTGTGTGATTTAGGACAATTGCTACCACAAACAGGTTATCCCCAGAGCGACAGTTATAATGAAGTCCAGCTGCTTGATGCTGAATAATTGAATCACTTTGGGTCATGTAATAATTTTACATCATTTGTTAAATAGATTGGTGTGGCATTTTATGACATGCTGCTGAATGTAGACCAGTGCAGTGCCCACTTGAATTACATGGATCCCATCTGTGACTTCCTGTATCATATGAAGTATATGTTTACTGGCGACAGTGTGAAAGAGCAAGTAAGTTAAACTTAAATAATTATTTTTTATGATGCTTAACTTAGAAAATTTAAACACATATAGTGAGAGACTTTCTGTTTGGGTGTGTATTTTTGTTTTGGTTAATTTTTTTAAGGGAAAAAGTTTGGTATCAGACCTTTTTAGGCAATAGGGGCATATGATTCTAGATGTAGTATTGAAGTAAATACATGTCATAACTTCTCACACTTTTCCTCCTCGATGTTTTCATCAGAGCATCTGAAATAGACCTAGGAGGTTAAGGATAGTAATCTCATTAGAGAGAAACAGTGTAACATGGCAGCTAAGAAGACCAGAGAAATGTTGTGTCGTGAAGGAGGGAGGGCCTACTTTGCCTACCCTGATTAGGCTACACTTCTGGGGACACTGGACACACTGCAGCATTCTAGAAGACTGAGGGCGATTCTACACTAACCCTGAGTAGAGACTAACTTGTGAAGAGTATTTGAAAATCACAGGAAAACTCACCCTAAAGAAAAATGTCTGGGGGAAACATTTGCGCCCTCACTGTTTGGAAGATCTCCATTTGGAATAAGTATTAGATTTGTTCTTTGCTGCTTCAAAGGACTTATGAATTCTAGGGAAGCTGGAGAAGGCACTTCCTAAGAGAGGCATCTGAAAGTTGAAAAGACCTTGAGTTTTAACTGCGTTCCTATGTGTGGGAAACAGAATCTGGGCTGCTTTAGAGGGTAGATGTGGGACAGATGGGGGAAGTTAAGTCCATTTCCTCCCTTCCCAATACTTTAATGTTGTTTCTTTTTATAATCGAAAGAAAAGCAAGTTCCTGTATGACCACATGAATCCTAGTCTACTGGCTGCTTCTCTTGGAGCTGGGGTTGGGAGGATGTTGACTCCTTTGTGCCTTAGCAGTAATATCAAAGAGAATTGACCCATTCTCTCTTGTAAAAAATAATTGTGTCTGCTATTTTAAAACACAGAACATGTGGGAAAGAGACAAAGAAGTGTTTGGTGTTTTGAGCTTTTTCTTTGTTTTTTTAAATGTAGCCTTTATATTTGGGCCTAAGAAATTTTGACACAAGGGAAAAGAGAAAGAAAAAATTGTTAATGAACTCATCTTTCCTGGTAAGGTCAGACAGCATTTCCAAGCATAACTCAAAACAAAAACAATTACCTTTGTGGATAAATGTTACAGACATGATGAGTTATTAATAAAACTTGATTTTTCTTTCTTCTTTTTCTTTCTTTTTTTTTTTTTCCTTGAGACAGAGTCTCATTCTGTTGCTCAGGCTACAATGCTCTGGCATTAGCCTAGCTCACAGCAACCTCAAACTCCTGAGTTAAAGTGATCTTCCTTACTCAGCCTCCAGAGGCATCCACCACAACACTTTGATAATTTTTCTATTTTTAGTGGAGATGGGTCTTGCTCTTGCTCAGGCTGGTCTTGAACTCCTAAACCCAAGTGATCTTCCTGCCCCTAGAGTGTTAGGAATACAGGCGTGAGCCACCTCACCCAGCCACCAAAGAGCTTTACAATGTAATTATGCTTCATGCTTCTATGAAGATGGTTGTTTAAAAGAATGATCAACTTGCTGGATATATGTAATTTCCAGTGTAAGCTAGCGTAGCTTGTGGTAGTAGGATGACTGGCTAGATACATGGATATGCTTTTGTAAGTATATTCATGTATAAATATATATATATCTACACACACACATATATAAAGTATATGCACAGACACACATATATAATATGTAATGTGTGAGTGTCTAGGAGGGAAAACACTTTCTCATACAAGAAAGAATGAATTGTGTCTGCTTTTGATAAAAGGTAGAACATGTCAAGAAACTTCTCATCCACCCTACTCCACTCCTTAGTTTATTGTCAAGGAACACTGTACAAATGCTTCTTAATATGCTCTGCCTTCTTAGGTAGAGAAGATTATCTGTAACTTAAAACCAGCTTTAAAACTTCGTCTTCGGTTCATCACACACATTAGCAAGATGGAACCAGCAGCGGTGCCTCCCCAGGCTGTGAGCAGCGGGTCCCCAGCACCTCAGGCTAACCAGGTGCCAGTGTCTCTACCTGTGACCCAGTGAAGCCAGAGCACACTGTGGAGAAAATGGAAACGCATCACTTCTGAACGCGGACTCCAGTCTGTTACGTCTGAATGTGACCGAGCTACAGTGATGTAGGGGAAGGAGCAGGGATTTTCGGATTGTTGTAGTTTGATTCGATGGTGAATCTGTCGACACTTTATGACTCCCATCCCCCATCTTTATTTTTGTCTCTAAGATCAAGTAAGCTACATCCTGTTCATGTTTGTAACAATTTCTTAGAGCTACTGAGGAACTCAGAAGTATCTGCTCAAATAACTTTTTCTAACCATTTTCAATCTATCTATTGGTTTTGTTTTTATTTTTTATTATTGATGACATGTTCAGTCATCAAATGCATTATTTTAAAGGTACCACACATGTAAACTCACTACTACAAATCCTTTGATAAATACATCAGCTTTGGTATATCCTCAGATTGATTGGGATTTTTACTGAGTAAAGGACTCTAAATTTCAGAGCGGGTAGGAGCAAGCAGGGTTTCACGTTCTTTTAAATATGGCTTGAGATTTTACTATGAATTTGCAACATTTCTATCAAAATTAGCTGTTTTTGGCCTTTGTTGTGAACTTGAATTTACTGTATGAAATGAGTTTGGAGCCATTTAAGAAAATAACCTATCTGAAAATTCATAAAATTAAATAAAATCATGCTTAAATGGTTGATAAATTAATTGTTTTTGTAGTTTGACCCTCTTCACCTAACAGATGATGTAATTCTTTAAATTTTTGTAATCTTAAAATTTTTAAATATTTATATTTCTAAGCATAGTTTACATTTTGACCCTTTAGGGTTTATTAGATTTTGAGAGGCATTGTTAATTATGGGGGGAACTGGCAGTGTGAAACACTCGAACTCTAATTAATAAATTCTGTTAAATGCATAAACTACATGATTCTTTCATGATTTAATTTGAAAGTAGGTCTGTGTGTCTGTCTGGCAGGGTGCCAGCTGGGTTTCAGTTGGGGAATGGCCTTTTCCATGGGTTCTATACCACATTTGGTGACTGAGATAGGCCTAGGTATTAAGAGTTAATGATTTTTTTAAAAATGAATTAGTGAACCTAACCAACTATATTTCAAATTCATGTTTCCAAATACATTCTTCCTAGAGCTTTATTTTCTTTGTAGGTCATATTTTTGGTTTTTTTTCTTCGAGACAGAGCCTCAAGCTATCCCCCTGGGTGGAGTGATGTGGCATCACAGCTTACAGCAACCTCCAACTCCTGGTGAGTCTCCTGCCTCAGCCTCCCAAGTAGCTGGGACCACAGGCGCCCGCCACAACACCCAGCTATTTTTTGGTTGCAGCCATCATTGTTATTTGGCAGGCCCAGGCTAGATTCAAACCCACCACCTTACGTGTATGTGGCTGACCCCTTAGCCACTTGAGCCACGGGCACCAAGCCTGTAGATCATATTTTTGAATCACTAAAAAATTATTGGCCTTGTAAGTCCAGCTAAAGATTTATATAATGGCATAATTGATTTTTTGAGACTAATTTTAAAATTCCCTGGAAATTTTATGCTAGCAACGAATTATTGTTCTTGACATAGTCTCAAGGTATTCTTGCTGTCTTGAGGAGTACATTGCTTTCAGATCCTAGAATAGGATAATTGTGACACTGGGGGTATTACACAAACAGGGGTAATGAATATACCACTTTTTCAAGATGTGACATTCTAATTAATTCATTAAAAATTCAGTTTTTAATAGTACATAGCTACATGTGGCTCTTAAGCATTTGAAATGTGGAACCGAATTTTTAATTTCATTAAACTTTAGTTAATATAAATGACTACATGTGGCTAATGTATTGGACAATTAACTCTTGAGCAAGATCCATCGTAATTGCTCCTCTATCGTGATTTAATAAAACATTTGTCTTTCAAAGACCTAGTAGTTAGACACAATGGGTAAATTTAAAATTCTGAGTTATATGTGAAAAATCAGATTATAGGGGTTGTTTAATGTATAATGGTTAAAACACCACAATAAAAATCCTTTCCTGGAGCCTACTTTATGCCAGAGTGCCCTTGGATTTTTATCTAAGTTGGGTTGAAGCATAGGAGAAAGTTGGGTTTCCCTTGTTTTGATTGCAGTTTATTCTCATTTTTCCTTTTTAATTTTTTTCTAATTTCAGATTAATATGAGAGTACCTACAGTAAGAATACATTACCTCTCATTTCTTTTTTTCTACTTTCCTTACTACATTCCAAAGCCCAGATGAGTTTTTAGAATGTAGCTTCTGACTCAGCACCTGTGGCTCAAGCGGCTAAGGCACCAGCCACATACACCTAAGGTGGAGGGTTCGAATCCAGCCTGGGCCTGCCAAACAACGATGACGGCTGCAACCAAAAAATAGCCGGGTGTTGTGGCAGGCCCCTGTGGTCCCAGCTAGTTGGGAGGCTGAGGCGGGAGACTCACTTGAGCCCAGGAGTTGGAGGTTGTTGTAAGCAGCAATTCCACGGCACTCCACCCAGGGGACAGCTTGAGGCTCTGTCTCCAAAAAAAAAGAAATACAATGTAGCTTCTAACACATAATTGCAATGAGTGAAGGGTGAAATGTCTAGAAACCACAGATAATTTTAGGTGAAATCCTCATCTGAATTAACACCTCTAATATATAAAATGGGTGTTTGATTTCTCTGGCTCTTGAATAGTCTTTAGGGAATATCCTCTACCACCCAAAAGGCTACATGACTAGCAACCATGCTTAAGATATTAACCAGTATCATTTTGAGACTTAGAAAAAGCAAATCATAGACACCTAACACTGACACCTGGAGATTTCTCAAAGCAAGGATTTTAGTCGGTCATTTTACAGTTGAAGAAATCAGATCTTGGGAGTTTAAACAGCTTCACCAAGGCCTAACAATGCTTGGGGAATGATGATTTCACTGTGACTTTTTGTTTATTTCCAGTTTTTTTTTTTTCTTTTTGAGGGCAGGGGAGAGGGTCTCATTCTGTTACCCTGGCTAGAGCACAGTGCTTACTGCAACCTGAAACTTAAAGGCTCAAGCAATCCTCCTGCCTCAGTCTCCCAAGTATCCTAGACTATAGGCGCAGGCCACTACATGTGGCTAATTTTTCTATTTTTGTAGAGACAGGGTCTTGATTTCACTTGGGCTGGTCTTGAACTCCTGACCACAACCAATTTTCCAGTTTCAACCTCCCCAAATGCTAGGATTATAGGCATGAACCATCTTCACTGTGAATTTTTAAATCTGTATAGCAGTTTTAAACAAGATGTATATGTGTATATGAACATGATGTTTATGTGCATTACATGTATCTAGAAAGAAATATATAGACACAGTATAATCTTACAAAGAGTTTATTATAAACATCACATCTTTTGTTCAACATGGACACAGCACATCATAACCTTTGCAGATGGGTTAACTCTGTCTCCTGATGCATTACCAGGACTCTCACTCTATGGATGAGGGCTTATTTTAGTGTAGGTTTATTTTTAATGCCAGCAAATTTTTAATTGGAAATTAATACATGCTATTATTTCTAAGGACAAGTCCTTTGCCAAAATAGAAAGGACACTCTTTAATTTCCCAAAAGTTATAAATTTCGAATCGTGAATTTCGCACCAAGAGGGAATCAGAGTTAATACTAACAGGAAAAATATTTTTCTAAAATAAATCTCTTGGAGGGTAATAATAGGCTTAAGTAAATTATTAGATTGGCTAATTATGTAATTACCTCTGAGATTTTCATATAATGTTTGCACATTTATTTGGGTGGGTTAAGGTAGTCAATAGGCTTATGGCTACCCTCTCGGGCAACTCCAAAACAAGCCAAGGTTACTGCTACTGCTGTGTTCACGGTTCGAGTTACTTCTTCTGGTGTCTTCCCCAGAGATGGGTTCACTTCCATTATATCTAATCCTGAGAGCAGCCCTACAACAACAAATGGTAATCATGTCATTTATAAGATAATCAACATTTTAAAATCAATGCAGACTGACTAGGGAGATGGTCTACCGACATAAACAGGTAGTGAGCAATGACAAACACATATATTACGTAGCTGATGGGCGTCCTGGAAGTGTCAACTGGGGCTTGGTTTTCAAGTGAAGAAGGTAAAAACTTTGGTCAAGTATATACTTTCTTCTCTATTCCCCCAGATTTTTCACCTACCTGTTTTGTAAATTTCTTCTGTGATATAGAGACCTTCTCTGTAAGACAGACCTCCGAGGACTGGTGTGCCAGTAGCTGGTGTTAAAGACGGGTCCAGTCCATCAACATCAAAACTCAGATGAATTGGTCTTTTCTTTCTTTAAAGAAGTAGGAAAGGATTTCAATTTATCGTTTGTGGTTTAGTATCTACTGAATAAATAGAGCTCTTACCCTGCTTTATAAAAAGTAACAATGATTCTATTTAAAGACTTGAGAACTCACATTAGTTAGTATCGGTAGGACATCTTTATGTTAGACACACGCACACAGAGGCATCATACCTTCCTAGTAAGTAGCTGAGTGTTTCCTCCATCACCTTGCCAATTCCCAGTTTATCCACTTCCGTCATTGAAAAGTATTTGATACCTAGAGTTTTCACAATGTAGCTATGAAAGAAGAGACATTAAGATAATATACAATTACTGCAATAAAGCTGACTATGCTGCCT